CTTTTTCTAATGTAGTGGCATCATTAATATGGACTCTCCAATTCAATTATTAAGAGGTGGAGTTGATTGAATCATGTCCTTGGTGATTTGTTGTTTGAAAAGTTCTCTGCTGGTTCTGTAATGTCAAAGGGGGAACTTGTACCTTATCTCTTTTTACAGTTTCCATTCTTTTCACTGCAGCCTATGCAAGAGAATTTCCAGGTAGATTGTGCTTCACACTGGGCATAAAGTTTAAAGTGTTGGCCTAAGACTTGGGAAAACCAGCTTCTAGTCCCCCCTCGGTCAAGCAATTCACTGGGCCAGTCATTGACTTTTAGTTTGACCTACCTCACAAGGTTGTTGTTAGGCTAAAACAGGCAGGAGGAGGGCCATATGACATTTCTTGGGTACTTGCAAGCGGAAAAGACGCAGGATAATGTCAAAACAATTAGCATGCATTTTGTTGGCACTCATTAGTTGGCACTGATCTTCTGCTTGAGAAACCTGACATAATATAGTGGCTATGAATGGGGAAATTGCTAATTTGAATTTTCTCTTTGCCAGGAACTGTCTGAGGCAGCGTTAGGCAAGCCACACTCTCCCAGCTTGGTCCCCCCATCTGCAATATGGCCAGATGATAAGTCTGACTAGCCTTACAAGATCTGTGTGAGGAATATAGCAGGATAATGTACCCAAAGCACTCCAAATACGTTGAATGTGCTATGCAAATGCTATGTTTTACTGTTCCACTGATCCAATGTTCAGCCTTTGCTTTGAAACTCTCACTGCCATGTGTGATAAGATAAAGAAGGAGCCAAAAATGAGAAACCTCACAATTCCTTCTCCCTGTTCCACTCCCACTTTTTGAGACTACTCTTTTTTCATATTCTATACGTGAAAGTTGGAAGAATGGCTCACTGTACTCATTTCTTCTGCCACGCTCTGACCATGGCAGGATTGACTCTAACAGTTCTGCCAAGTGGACAGACTCCAAAGGATTCCAGGTCATCCCCCCCCCCCCCAAGTATTGTGTAAGAGACAATGAACTTTTTTCCTGCCATGGAAAACTTTTCTTGGCCCACTGGCTTTGTATAATGCCCTCTTGAGAGGTAATGAGAAAGCAGGGAACAGAGGAGAGGGACTTTAAAAGGCCTAAAGCTGCTTTTCAAAGTAAAAACATCTTTTTTTCTTTTTGCACTGCGCATGGAATAGAAGTGCTCTCCAGAGCAGCCAAACAAAGAACAGAAATTGCTTTGGAAAGGATAATGAGCACTGGTCAAAATGACCCTTCATTAGAAGACCCTTTTAGAGGCAATATTCATCCTTGGCCTTAACAGCAGTGAGGACTGTGTTCTGTTGTCCTGGGAATGAGTTTGGCTCATTAGGAGCAGTTCTAGATCTTCAGTTTGTGTGATCAAATGCATATTGTTTTCCCACTTGACCTCAGGCAGTTGCCATTTCATCCCTCCATGAATCACTAGAAATGTTGCTTTTAGTTTTATAAACCTGAAGGGAAAGTTCATTATTACTTTGGCCTAGATGGTTTATTTTTATGACTTTGTGGTCTGCCTCTTATGCGTTGGTAGCCTGATGATTCCAGCTTGCACATTTGTGGCAAACAACCCATCACCCACCACTGTGGGTGAAACCCCTTTAGGTTTTTCAGTTATTACTATTTTTTTTATTGTAGTTCTGATTTATATCCTGCCTTTTTCCTACAAAGGGCTCAAAGCAGCTTCATCATTCTCCTCCTCCATCTTATCACCACCACAACAACAACCCTGTGAGGTAGGTCGGGCTGAGAGTCTGTGACTGGCCCAAAGTCACCCAGTTGGCTCCATGGCTGAGCGGGGACGAGAACCCAGATCGCCTGAGTCCCAGTCCCATGCTTTTAACCACTACGCCACACTGGCTCTCTCTTTTTGAGTGGTTTTGAGGCTGCTATCCTTTTGCTACAGTGTCTGTCTGGGCTAGTCAGATGGACCAGGCTAGAACTATGGAGACCCAGCTCAAATCCCCATTCAGCTGTGCAGCTCTCTGAGTGGCCTTGGGCCATTTGCTATATTCAGTTGCCAAGGTCACACACATGTCCAAAAGTGTGCTGCAAAGCTGATGAGGGCCTACAGGTCATTGTAGGAAGCTAGGTTTCTTTGTTATAGGCTCTGTGCATCACACGTGTGGGCTGGGCCATGTAGCACAGGGCCTAGGTCAGAGAGAAACTTCCATATTATGTAGTGTTTGTTTTTTTTTTAAGCCGAGATGCACCGGGTTTTAATATTTTTATTGTATAATTTTTATATGCTTTTGTTTGTTCTTGTTGTGAGCCGCCCTGAGCCTTTGTTGCGATGGGGGCGGCATAGAAATGTTTTAAATAAATAAATAGCTCAGCATCACAAAGTGGGCGGGAGCCCCCCACCCCTTCTGGGTCCTGTGATAATGGGAAGTACTCCCACATACTCCCTTGGTTTCTTTCCAACTGTGCACCTCACTGCTTCACCAGATCGGATCAACTTCACTCGCATTTTTTATTGTAAGCCGTCCCGAGACATTCTGTAGGGGACGGGATAGATAAGCTTTAAACAAACAAAACAAATGTTTTTTCCATGTTGTTACCTACCTTTTTTCCTTGCTCTTTTCCTTGCCCTTTTTTCCTATTAAAGTTTTCCCCCTTTGCACATTCAAGGCAACAGACCACTCCTTTGCAAAAGCTCATTATTTTCCGAAGTATATTCAGTAAGCACAATCCCCACAGAATGAGTCTCTGAGCATGCACAGAGCAATTTGTTGAACCCAGTCTAGCAACTACTTCCAAGAACCCTCCTTTTGAGTACCCAGGTCTCTCTTCCTCTGGGAGGGCCATTTTGCCCCTCTAGTTGGGTAGCTCTTTCCTCTCAATGCTGCATCATGGAGTCAAGAATTGTACCAGGCTCTGCTGACTCCCGGAACTCCTGTCCCATGTCCTCTCCCAGCAGTCTTAGATCCTGACTATCAGTGATGTGTTCAGGCCATTTATGCTAAGTCTTGAGTCAAGACTCAAGTCTTCCTTTTCAAGCCCAAGTCAAGTCTCAAGTCATTGTAAGAAATTTTTGAGCCAAGTCTCCAGAGCCAATTTTAACCAAAAATGGGAGGTGATGGTGGGGTGGGTGTGGGGGGTGGGTGGGAGAGTTCCTGATGTTCCTTCCCCCTGATGTTCCACCAGTGATTTATTTAAGTTGCTCATTCCTCCCTGGAAACACGCAGGAAAAGAGCAGAGGCAGCACACAGGAGAGGCACTGTTGAACTTCTTGCCAAGGATAGCAAAATGCACCAAAAAGCGCTGACGCCTTCCCCCATATCGCACCACACCCTCCCCTTGCCCCTGCCCCTTGCCCTTCCTTCCCACTGTCTTTCTCACCCCAAAAAGAAGAGCTCAAGCCTTGCCTCTCTTTCCCCCTATTGCGGCCCCCTCCTCTCTATCCTGCCCACACCCCCTTGAAACTCCCTCCCTCCCACCACCTCTGTTGTGTTCGTGACCACCTTCCAGCCCATCACAAACGCCTTCTGCCAAGACCGTCCCAGGATAGCCTGCCTCATGTTGGAAGCGGGCAGTAAGCCCCGGAGTGACTCAGTTTTATAAACACTAGAAATCTCGAGTCAAGTTGAGTCGCTGATGCAAGACCTGAGGGCAAGTCCCACCACTGCTGACACTTGGACAGGGCAGTCATGAGATAAGCCCCTCCACTTCTTCCATCTCAGTGTCTGGGAGTGCCGGTTCCCAGCGCCCCTCCTCATTTGACAAGTCCGAATCTGCTTGACATTGGACCATGCGCTAAGAACAGTTTCTCCTTTCATTCCCAGCAGTGGCATGCTCTGCAGAAAGGCTGAAGGAAGAAGAGGTTATAAGAGACAATACTGAAGCTATCTTCAAACCTTTGAAGAGTTGTCACATAGATGTTGGAATTAATTTGCTCAGTGTTGCTCTAAAGGGTAGAGACCAAACCCATCACTTTAAATGACCATTCCCTCCAAAAAGAGGAGTTGAGTAAATGGTAGGAGGACATTCTAAGCAGATGCTGAATGGCCACCCATTAGGGATACTGTAACAGCAGATTCCCCACACTCTCAGAGGTTGGACTAGAGAACTTCTGAGGTCCTTCCCAATTCTATGACTCTAGGAAATTGAGAAAATAGAAAATTCTATTGCAGCTTAGCACACTCTCTCTGTGCTACTCCAAATTAAAGGAAAGGACAAAGCAACCAGCAGTGCAGCTGTTCTCCCACTCCATTCCCTGCAGCAATTCACACGAGGACTAAAACACATTTGTGGCCCATGTTCAGCAATCAGGCAGAAAGGCCCCAGGAGTTACATTACCCTCGAAGCGACTTTTGGCCCTGTAATGGATGTCAAAGCATTACTGCGGTATGAGTGTGTACTACTGGTTGGACAGAAAGTCTTCCTTGAGTCTTTGGTATTTTAATGGGTTCACTTGGCAAGGCAAGCTATACAAATGTTGGCAGGATGTGGAGAATATATTGACTCCTCAGGGTAACAAGTCATGGGTTCATATCCCTGGAATAATAATGTTACTCTTAGTGTTGCTGCTTTAATTGTAGCATTCCCGTGTTTTATTAGACCCCCATGGAAAAATATTATCAAACGCAGGAGCTGCAGGCCCAGTTGCCCCTATTTATTTATTTTTTATTATTTTATTATTATTAAAAGCTTTTATATCCCATCCTTCACTACCTGGGGCAGCGCTGATCCTCTGGAATGCATCCATGCTTTCTATTTTTATTTATTTATTTTAAATTTTTCTATACTGTCATTCATTAAAAATCTCATGACTGTTTACACAAATTCCATCTAAACGCATATAGGTTCCCTGTGCCGCTGTTTTGCATTTGATTCTTGTTGACAGAGCCTGGAGTTCTGAGTAAACACAAAAGAAATCCAGCAAGCCCAAGATCTACCACTGTGTGAAAACACAGAGCCCATGACGCTAGCCACGTTTTCATGTGTGTTTTGCTGTCCTTTTTGCCAGGTGGACTGCAGCCATGCCAGGTGCTGACACAATGACAGCGAGCACAGTCACCAGCGCGAGCATCAAGCATAATACCAGTGTTTGCAAAAGTACTGAAAGGTGAATATGTTTGTGTTATCTTTTTAGAGATTCTGAGCAGAATGACAGGGTAGGTGGTGCTGGTGGGGAAACAGTGCTTAGCTTCTGTTGAAATAGTGGTTTGTTTTAATATCTGCGAGTGAGGATTGCAGCTCTCTATTTTAACATTCTGTTGTTTTCTTGCCATTGTTGGTTGCTTTGGAGGCTCCACTATGGCAACAAAAATTGAGACAAAAGTACGTTTGTTAAAATAGTACATGTGGCATGGGGGGATGTGAAAAACGGCCGATTCCAGAAGGTGGTGCTGGGGGACTATGGCTCTGCACCATGGCAACTATGCCATGGAGTACCGCAGGGGTCCATTTTGTCCGCCTTGCTATTCAACATCTACATGAAACCGCTGGGAGAGGTCATCAGGAGGTGTGGGCTGCGGAATCATCAGTACGCTGATGATACCCAGCTCTACCTCTCGGTTTCCACCAATCCAGGTGAGGCAGTGGCTGTGCTGAACCGGTGCCTGGCCGAGGTAATGGGCTGGATGAGGGCCAATAAACTGAAGCTCAGTCCAGACAAGATGGAGGTCCTGTTGGTTGGTGGTTTGGGACTCGGGATGGGGGACTTGGGCCTTGTCCTAAATGGGGTTGCACTCCCTCTGAGGGACAGGGTTTGCAACTTAGGAATGCTCCTCGACCCTGAGCTGTCCTTAGAAGCCCAGGTGACGGCGATGGCGAGGAGCGCTTTCCTTCAGCTTCGGCTGATCCATCAGCTGCGTCCCTTCCTGGAGAACGATTGCCTGGCGACAGTGACACACGCGTTGGTAACTTCCCGATTAGAGTTCTGCAACACGCTCTACGTGGGGCTACCCTTGAAGATGGTCCGGATACTTCAATTGGTGCAGAATAGAGCTGCCAGGCTGCTGATGGGGACTGGGTGTTGTTCTCATATAACCCCACTTCTCCGTCAGCTCCACTGGCTCCCGATTGAAGTCCGGGCCCAATTCAAGGTGTTGGTTATGACCTATAAAGCTCTCAACGGCTTGGGCCCTGGGTATCTAAAGGAACGCTTGTGTCCATATATGCCCTCCCGCCCCTTGAGATCAGCAACAGATGCCCTTCTCCGGGAACCCTCTGTGAATGATATTAGGAGGGTGAATACCCAGAGGAGGGCCTTCTCTGCGGTGGCACCCCACCTCTGGAATGCACTCCCCAGAGAGGTCCGCCTGGCGCCATCGTTATTTGTTTTTCAGTGCCAGGCTAAGACCTTTTTATTTAAAACTTATTTTAAGTGTTAATTTATTATGTAGGATTTTAAAATTTTTAAGCCGAGATGCACTGGGTTTTAATATTTTTAGTGTATAACTTTGTTTTTGTATAATTTTGTATATTTTTGTTGTAAGCTGCCCCGAGGCTTTGTTGCGATGGGGGTGGCATAAAAATGTTTTAAATAAATAAATAAAAACATCCATGGGGGAGAAACTACTACTTCATATCTATATATGCCCTCATGTTCCCCATCATTGAGCTCCCCCTCCCATGTACTACTATGTAAATATCTCTTCTTTCAAGGTTATGCTAATATTGTCAATATACCCCTGCCCAAGTCCTTCAGACTAAATAGATGGTGCAGTGCATACAAAAATTACAGTGAACTTTGCTGAATATCTTTAATATCTTGCTTAACATTTCAAACAGAGAATCATATTCAGTATGGTATCATTGACAGGGAGATGCCAAATGATATTGATGTCTAAAACTTTTGGATCAATGAGGTATAGCTGCATGATTTTACTGAGATGGTAAACCAGGGCTCTCCTTTCAAGAGAACCCTTCAGGTAAATTGTGAGTGTGTAGAGATCACAGGAAGCTTTCATGGTAATAAACCTGGCTTGAGTATGTCACTTAAATGGGTCGAATTTTACAGTGAGCTCATGGAGAATGATGAATGCAGCTGCAAGCTTCTTCTGCCCAATTTATTTATTTTATTTGCTCTCATTGCATAGGATAAGGTTTGCAAGTCTAAATAATACAACCACAAAGACAGCATTTTCTGGTGAGCCTTCAGGGAGGAAGGATTGGGTCAGCACTGCCACCACGTCTGAGCTGGTATATCAAAGAGAGCCACCTGCTGTGGCAAACAGCACCTTGAAAGCACTGGAGAACTTGATGTTGGACCCAAGACTGGATTATTTTCAGCAGAACATGCTTAGTCCCAAGATAATCATTGGTGACCCATCTGTAGATCTCAACATTCGGGAAAGTAGCAGGATCATCAGAAAGCAAATGGGAGGCACTCAAAACCTTAGGGCTGTTGGGAAAGTTAGTTTGAAAAATAAGCCCTTGAGTATCAAGGATAAGATTTCAGAGTGGGAAGGGAAAAAGGAAACAGCATCCTCTGTCTCCAGCTGGAAGGAGGAAGACCAAGGAGTTAAGGAGGATATCAGTTCTTTTTTGGGCACAGTGGAGAAGATGACCAGGGAGAACACAGTAACAAGGGAAATAGAGACCAGGAGGTTTCTAAACCGCCAGGTAGAATGTAAAGGGGCAAGCAAAGAGAATGAGAGACGATCAGGAACTTTAAAAAGTGCTGGGCAGCCTACTGAGAGAAAGGTAGACTTGAAGCTAAGGGAGGAAGAGCCCGCTTCCAACATTGGCAAAGGCACTGAGTTGAAGGACAGTAAGAAAGAGGTCCAGAAGGAGAATGTGTCTGTTCTGAGTCAGGTCAAGAAGCTGGAGCAGGCCTTGAAAGGTGGATCAGTTGAGCTGCAGCCACAACTACCTGGTACTTATTATTCCCCGCATTGCCTGCAAGAGAAGACTGATGAGGGTCAGGGCCTCACTGAAGGCCAGGAAAATGTTGGCCGGCCAGAGCTCAGCAGGCGCCTCCTTTCTGTGGATTCCGAAGCTAGTGAGCCAATCTTTGGGACTCTGGAAGAGTTGAAAGCGCCTCATGCAAAATGCAAGCCCAGCAATGAGGAAAATGTGTATACAGAGCCAGGATTGCCGGAGAAGAAACCTTTTATCAATCCACTCCCCAAGCCCCGGCGGACTTTCAAGCATGAGGGCGAGGAGGGATGGGCTCCTCCAGTTAGGAATAAGAGGAACTTGCCCCCTCTGCCCTCTATTCCACCCCCTCCTCTCCCTTCTTCGCCTCCCCCTTCAGCTGTCAGCAGGAGACTGAGGAATGGAAAGCACAAGGCGAATGCTGATCACAGGTATTGGTACTTCTTGTCTTCCTGCTGATAAATGCAGGGTTCCTGTACTCTGGCTTCTGTTGTGCCATGGTTTCTCTGCAAAAGACCTACCATCAGCTGGCAGGTAGGGCCAATCCTTTTCAGCTTATGGATAGCATTCTGTTCCAGAGAGGCTTTCCAGGACCAGAGGTGAGCAGGGCAAGAGGGACAGGTCAGAATATTAAACAGAACAGCCTGCTTTAGCTTAGAGCTCTTCCTGCCAGCAACTAAGCCTTAGGAGAGGCATTTCAACTTTTTGGGAAGCTTAAAAAAACTGTACAAGATCCAGGAAACCAGCAAATGGCAGGTGTTTGGAGAAAAGGGGTGTGATGAGATGGAGACAGCATGGTCTCCTGGAGAACCCCAGAGGGCCAGATTGGCCAGCAACCCTGATGATGAACACCCTGGTTTAGATCATTCTTCTCCCATGCTTTCAGTGAGGGCCTGTTCTTTAACTTGTGGCCATGGTTAATATGCAGTTTGGAATTCAGCATGAAGATGTCTGAACTAGGCTATTCTAGACGTATAAGGCCACTTACCCCCATGACTTTCCAGCCATCAGGTAGGTTTTTCTAGAAAGGGGCAAGTATCTCCCTAGACTTTCCTGGATTGCATTTGTCTGTGCCCTGACCTGAGGCATGAAGCAGAATTAAACAAAAACAAAAACTCATTCTCACTGAGTTGCATTAATTTTATGGCGTTGCTCTTATTTATACTCTTCATTGTCCCATCTAAATGCATGGCACTGTCTTGAGGAATTTTCACTCTAAGCACTGACACCAGGGAGAAAGCAGTGAGGAGGAAAATGGTGGCAGACAAATAAAGGAAGAATGTGGATTTATTTCATTTTGAGTTAGGTGAAGTTACAGTGTGGTATGAGGCCTGCGCTAATGTGCCAACATCTTCATGGAGAAGACAAGCATCAGAAGGGGGAAGGGGCTGGATCTCTTGAGGGAACAGGAGACCTTTGGCAGCTTGAAAACGGAGTAGGAGAGTAAAGGGCATGAGCCAGAGTGTCCTGATACAAAGAGGAAGGGAAGGTCTGAGTGATATAAGGAAAGGCCATGGAACGCCTAAGTGAACTAAAAAGAGAAAGAAATGTTGTGAACTTGTGTAACAGGAAATGAAAGTGTGTAGGTGCACTGATGACTGCATGTGCAACTTAGTTTTGGTTTATGTCAATGTTTTATCGGCTGCATCTTATATCCATCAAGCCATTATTTTTCCTGACCCTTCTGTTCTTCCCCACAAATGCCACAGGAAGTCTTATGAATTTGAAGACTTGTTGCAGTCCTCTTCTGAGAATGGTCGGGTGGATTGGTATGCTCAAACCAAGCTGGCCCTCACACGCACTTTATCAGAGGAAAACGTCTATGAAGATATTCTAGGTGGGTGTTTGGGAAGTGAGGGTGGATGGTGGCTAACTTTGACAGGCTCTCGCCTTGATCTACTGATTGTGAAGATCTAAAGGGCTACATCCTAAGGAGGTTACATCTAGATTTTTAACTTTGTGTTAATCCCAGTTCGGAGCAGCCAGAAGTCAGGACAATATTTTATTAGCAAAGGTATGGGCAACAGGTAGTGTGAGACTCCAGCTTCTGTCCTCCCTGGCATGCTGACTGGAGCGCTTGAGAATTCAAGTTCCACAACGTCTTGGGGGCTGCAGGTTATCCATCTTTATCTTAGAAATAGTTTCCGATGTGTGTATGTTTGTGCAGTATACCAGTATATCAAGGGGAGGGCCTCTTGATGCTCAAAGTATCTTTCCCAGCAGGTACATATAAAATAATAAAGCACTGGCAGGCTCCTCCAAACAATATGAAAAAGATGGGTGAGTTCAATAAACAATAATAAAAGCAAAAAAAGGTACACAAACTGTTTTAACATTGCATGCATATATACAAAGCACATACAAGGCAAACATCGACATTGAAAAATACCAGTTGAAAAATTGATTCACTAGATCTGAGGTAGCCTACCGTTGTGGGTTAGTTCCCATGAATTTCCATGATTTCTTAATGTTTACCTTGCATTAAAATGATGCATCACAATCCAACACTGAGTTAGGTGTGGATGTCAGTACTTCAGCAGATGTCACATTTTCTTGGATGGTGACCACAGCATATTGAAGCACTGGTCTTCAGCACTTTCAAACTTGGGGTGCAGCTTCCATATTCCTTCCCTTCAACATCCCCAGCACCCTCTCTTTTGTGTTTTGTTTTTCTGCTTTTCCTTCTCTTCAATTTTCCTCTACTTTTCTCTTCATGCAGCCCAGCTAGGATATTGGCTGCTGATGCTCAGGTAGGGTTGCCACCATTTTTCTTTTGGATTGCTCATGTTTTTGTGCATTTAACAACTGCTTGGCACGTTCAAATCAGGTGAAGAATTTCCTGGCAGAGTTTAAGCCCAGAGGTAGGCAACCTAGTGCCTTCCAGCTCTTTGGACTACAAATCTCATAAGCCCCAGCCACCATGACCAAAGATCAAAGATTCTGGGAATTATAGTCCAAAACATCTGGAGGGCACCAGGCTACCCATCCCTGGTTTAAGCAATGAGAGGAGCTTCAGTTCTTTTGCGGTATGCAAAACTGTCCAACTACAAATCTTGCAAGTAGGAGAAGTGGGTGGAAAATTATTCAGCCAACCTTCCCCAACCTGGCATGTAATCTTCCTCACCAAGACATAATTGACTACATTTCCCATCACTCAGATTGACCTTGATGAGCATTAAAGTTCAAACTCCTGGAGGCACCAGGCTGGGGGAAGGATGGACTTGATTCACCTTGGTCTGATTCAGCAAAAGCAGTTCCTGAGTTCTTAAGACACTGGAAAGCTCACAGATGTGTCTGTTGATGTATCTGTTTCCTCTGGCTTTCTATTCCAGATCCGCCAGCAAAAGAGAACCCCTATGAAGATATTGAGACAAATAGTCGTTGCCTGGGGAAGAAATGTGTCCTGAACTTTCCAGCGTCTCCTTCATCTTCAGTTCCTGGCACACCCACAAAGGTATCCTGGACAAACCAGTGTGAATGGAGCATCCAGTGCCTCAAAAGTTATATATTTTGGCTGGAGTTATGGAGGTAGTGTGATGGGAAAGTTGATGCCCTGCAGAGAACAAAATTACTGATTCATTCTCTGATGTGGTTTCCCATCTTGGATTAACTCCATGTTGGAGTTAATTTCCTGTCCACCAAATTCTGTGATCATATAAGGATAAAATCTGGGTGTGCTGAATTGTGATGAGTTCTAGGATGGGCCAAGAATGGCATAGTCTAGTCTCTTTCTTGCTGTGAATTTTCATTGGCAATGCTTGGCAACTCGCAGCCAAAACCAGGCAGGCATGACACTTTTTAGCTGGCTGGCTGGAAAGTGATTGGTGGTAGAGAAGTAGGTTCTTTGGTCAGAAACTGCCTGGTGTAGGCATGGGATTCATTTGAGGGACCTCTGGGCCTGTCAGCACTTCATTAAAGGCATTACAGCACTTCATGCTGTATTTGCCCTTTTCTTCTTCTTTCCATGTTTTGTTCTTGTCTCTGTGTTTTATTCCCATCCCTGCTTCTTTTCTGCTTGCCACTTCAGACATTTCTACCCTGTCTCTCCAAAAAGTTGAAGGACGATCATGCTCTGTTTAAAATAACAAACACATGCGTGTGCGTACACACATCTCTGAAATATGTTCAAGTGATGGAAATGACTGGACATGTTTAGCCTTGAGAAGAAAAGACTGGAAGGTTGTCACAACAGGAAGGCCAGGATCTCTTCTCAATTACCCCAGAGTGCAGGGTATGGAATATTGGGCTCTGGTTAAGTCAAATTCCATCTCCCTGACTATGAAAGCGATACCAGTGGAAACAGTGCCATAGGGAAGATGTGGGCTCTCCTGCCCTGGAGGCATTCAAGACGCAGCTGGAAAGCCATGTCTTAGGGACACTTTGACTTGAAGTCCTTCACTGAGCAGGGGCTTGGACCCGGTGGCCTTATAGCTAACTCTGCTGTTCTCTATGAAATCAACCAGCAAAACGGTGGCTGGAAAGCAATACAGTGAATGGCCAATGACAGAGTGACTATTTGGGGAATATTCATTTACAGGCAGCCCTCAAACTGCTGTAGCTGTGTCCTCAGAAATGCTTATTTGGTCATACGAAAGAGAACATGTGGTCTATATAGTGTGTGTGGCATATAGGGGCCCAAACACCCTACCGTGCAGAGCAAGTCCTCTGTTTTGGAAATCAGGCAGAGGTTGCGGTTATCCTCTGTTTGAAGAGGTGTCCAGGCCAAGTCTGGTTCAGCTTCAGAAGGCACAGAGATCTTTATTTTATTTTATTTTATTTTAGGTATTTCTATACCATCGATTATTCAAAAGACTCTTGAGATGGTTTACAGCAGTTTTCCCATCCACAATTAACATCTTGAAATTTCCAATCCACAATTAACATGGAAGCAAACTGATCAGGCACACCTGCCACGTGGTCACCACATTCTCCGCTCTGATGTGATATAGTGTACTTGTAGTTATTTTAAAATTTGCAACTATACACCTATATCAGCATATGCAAGTACTGTACAAAATCGGGGGCCTCTTTTGTCCTCTTCTCTTGATGACACCTGCTGTTCCTCTTTTTTGGCAATACCTAAGTGGCTACCTTTAGCAAGTGTTGGGCCATCCTTTAAGTACTATTCCACCATAGGTAAAAAGGGTACATTGCTGTGGGGCATGCATTAACGTTCCCTAGATGGTATGTGGAAATTAAGGCTGAAGCAATGCCAGTTACCTTTGCTGCAAGACAGAGGCCACATGTTCATTGAGGGGAGTGAACAAGTTGGCAGGTCACAGACTGGTTTTATGCAATCTGGAAAAAAATCTGCTCATCTCACTGCAATGACAGAATCTGGGCATCCTTCTGTGCATAGCAAGGGACCCTAGTTTCTGTTTCCTCCAGTAACAAGTGGCATTCTTTTTACTGATAAACCAATAGCAGGGCAAGGTGTGGCCTGCTGAGGCAAATGATCTGGACAATTAACAAAGTACCATTATTAGTGAGAGCTCCACCCTAAACTCCCAACACTGTTCAGAGTGCAGGCCAGATCTGAAACAGCAGAGGTTTCAAACCCTGCCCTGCAATGTGACTTAAAGTATGTAGACACTACATTGTGTTAAGCCCAGTATAAGTGCAGAAGGTCTCCAAGGGAGCAAAGCTCAGGGAACCAAGGTTCAATTTGGATGCCAGGAAGTACTTCCTGACAGTTAGGACCCTGAGGGTATGGAATGGGCTTCCCCGGGAGGTGGTTGAGGCCCCATCAGTGAGGGTGTTCAAAGATAGGCTAGACATGTACATGGTGGGCATGCCGTGAGTGAAGCTGGCTGGAGCTGGGGGTCGTACTAGAAGGCCTGGGAAGCCCCTTCTGACTCGCTCTGTTTCTGTTTTTCTAAGAGAAAACAAGTGGGTTACTGAGCATCCTCATAGACTGAAGATAAGGCTGAGAGCACAACCAGGCTGGGGAAGTGATAAGAAAATGGCACACCATGTCTGTTCTGAGTTTGTAGGCATTGCAGGCATTGCAATACCAATTTTGTTGATTCAGTTTTGTTGGATGCTGTAAACTGGCCAGAGAGTTTTGGCTGTAGGGTGGTATAGAAATGTAATAAATTAATGTATAAAATATCTGTGCATAGAGGTTCAGTTTATTTGGAGTCCAGAGGAGCAGAGAAAATATAGAAGATTCATCGTCATCTGGAACAGTTTCACTGTACAGCTGCTTCCATCCACTCTTAGGTTTGCCGTTTCTACATCTGGAAATGTGCATTGCAAAAAGGCCTTGTTTTCCCATGAAAATGGAAAAAGTATCCAATCATTGTTTGCATTTTAAAAATGCAAATTGGAACCAGCTAATTAACCATCAGAGGTATTCTGCGTTCCCAGTTTTGCTGTTAGCTCATAAGAAGTTCTGTCCTCCAGTGCAGTTCATCAGAGTGAGATGAGGGAGACCTTGTCATCAGGGTTTAAATTCTGGGAATGAAAAGAAGTCTTCACTGTCATACGAGTAGTTGCCCATGCCGAGTATGTTACAGTTCTTATTTCATTGTTGTTATGCCCTCATACTAATCCCTTTTCACTTTCTCAAGGCCATTGAGCATATTTCATGGCTGAGCCAGAATTTCATCAACAGTTTCTTACGGCCAAACCCAGGGCTTGAACCACTGCACCACAATAGACCCATGAACAAGTGCCAGACCACACTGTTGTTCTACTGGAGAGAACCAATCACTAAATAACAGGCTTAGGGAAATGCAGAGGTCCAGAAATACGTAACTGCCATGTTTCTTAAGCTTGTCTCTGAAGCTACTGGTAATGGTCACTGGCCCACAGACTACTGGACGGTATAACTTTAGGGTCTGATGTGGTAGAACAGCACCTTCCTTCTCCAATACAAATGTCTGTGGTTGCATGGCTGGTTAGTTTTGTCAGCTTGTTTTGTTTCTATCACTTTCCCAAATCTGGTTGTGCAAGCAATTTGTGTACTTTCTGTCCTGGAGATGAGAGTGAATTGCAGAGAGCTCTGTCCTGATGTGGAAAATATATAAGGGTCTCTCTTACTGTGCTGCTATCTTGAAAATTGAAGTAGCTGTTGAAGCATATTGGGCCAGAGGTAATCTGCCAAGTATTTAAAGCTTCTGTGTTCCTTGCCTTCTTTGTCTCCCTTCAGATTTCTTTATCTGCCATATGGAGTACTGCCACAATGTTAGAGTAAAGGTTCTGATGTTGCTCCTTTTCTATCTCCCCAGCTGCTCTCCAAGCCTATCTTCTTTCGGCAAAACTCTGAACGGCGGAGTTTCAAATTGTTAGACATACGGAAATCGAATCGGGATGGGGCATGTTCTCCTTCCAAAATCAGTCCCCCTTCCACTCCTAGCAGCCCTGATGACACGTTCTTCTCCTTGGGGGATCCTCAGAATGGCAAGAGGAGGAGAAAAATTCCTAAGGTTACCCTCTCTGAGTATCTACCTACTACCTACCTCCCTATCTATCTATCTATTTGGTGAGTCAGGGGTGTGAAGGAGTTGATGACAAATAAGAAAAAAACATATGAGAAGATGTGGTCAGTTTTAACATGCCTATCTAGGATACACTGAAAATCATCTTGGTATGTTAGTATGTATTAACCTCAAACAGGTAGTACTAAAAATACTCCAAATTTATAGAGTGAAAATTATAGTATTTTTTTTTCTATCCCGCCTATTCCCAGTAATTTGGACTCAAGGCGGCCAGCTGGATGAAACTGACAGGCAACAGTGCGCCCCCCCCCCTCATTGTTTCTATACTATTGTTTAATTTTAGATTCCTGTAAGGATGGATAAGGAGCAAGTGGCTAGCTGCCTCCACGTACAGTGCCAGTTTACAGGAGTGCTCCCCCCCCCCCCCCCCCGTAATCCAGCCATTGTTTCCCAGGCTTTCAATCCTTGGGGAGAGACTTTGCATGTAGGAGGCCCCAGGTTCAGCCCTTAGAATATCCAGCTTTTAAAAGTAACTGTGGGGTGGGGGAATCAGTAGGTGGTGGGTAGGAGGTCTTCCTGAGATCCTGGAGCAGGGATGCAGAATGCCTGGTCTGGAGACAGAATCCAGCCCTCTTAGCATCTTGGCTTGAGTCAGCCTCTGGGCTTCTGCAGGTAACCAGGCTTCCTTCACCCCAGTCCGTGGCCCTTTATGGTCCCCAGCTTTTGTGCATGTTTACTTTCAAAGAGGCTGAAATACCTCACTACTAAGAGTTACTTGTTAGAGTTTTAAGCTAAAATATACCAGTATTTTAGGGCCTACCCCTTTTATTTTCAGCCTGCCACCAGAATGCAGCAGCCACCCAGAATGTCTCCAAAATAAAATTTGGCCCTCAGACTGAAAGAAGTTCAAAAACCCTGGAGAGTCTCTGCCTGTCAGAGTAGACTATACTGGTCTGAATGGGCAGATAGCCCAACCTGGTATACAGCACTTCCTGTGTTTCTAAAAGTTCACTCACTTCCTCAGGGTACTTCACACATCACAGTGTTAAGATGTGTTACAGATGTATGTCTCAGGAAACTGAGATAGCTGCTGCAAATCACTGCCAAGTTTGATGGCAAACATTGTCACCATGTAATATGTGAAAGAGTCTTTGACTGGTGACCTTAAATAGAAATCGGAAGAAAAACATCTGCAAATGAATTGTACATTCCAAATTCAACCACCCAGTGAAAGGTCTTGTAAGTTTCCTTTAAGTTGCACAATACCTTTTTCAAATGAAGAACTGTGGAAGAACCTCAGCAAGAGAAAGGGTGTCAAGGCAGAAAGAAAGGAAAGGCCACAGAAAATAAGCTATGAACAGAGTGAGAAACGAATGGGAAGGAAAGGGGGGGATTCAGTTTATTGGGACAAATGATCCATTCAGAGCATTTAGTTTCCCTGTTTTACATTAAACAGCTGGTGTTAAAAATCAATGCCATTTATGAGGCACGAAGAGGGAAGAAGCGAGTCAAGAGGCTGTCGCAGTCCACAGAGAGCAGCTCAGGAAGAGGTAAAGAAGTGCGGCTGAGGGAAATGTGATTTTCAGGGTATTTGTCTGAGCTGGGTTGGGGTTTGGGTGTGAGCTTTTATCACTTAAAGGAATGCTGTAAATTCAGTGATGCCCAATATCTTTGCCCAATAGTAGCGAGATGAAAAAATTCTCCTAATAACTACCACTTGTAAAGGACACAGGACTGCTGACCAAAACACCACGTCCTTCTACTTTCCATATTAATTGCACCACATGCCCTGCGTCCCGAGGCCACTGCAATGTGCATTTCTCCATTCCCACCAGTTGCTGCTGTGATGTGAAAGAGGGGGGCAACGGGGAAATGCACACTGTGATGCTATTAGAACACAAGGTAAGTTGTGGGGCAAGTTGCAGCTCACATGTAGGAGGCAGAACCTGGGCTTGGGCTGCTGTCTGGAAGGCAATTGTTTATTTATTGCTAATTAATCTTTCTTTTAGTTACTGATGAAAACAGTGAATCAGACAGTGATACAGAAGAGAAGCTCAAAGGTAAGAGAAAGGGAATGTGAGAAAAGCAGAAGACAAGGTGGTTGCGTCTTGACCTGAAAGTGATGGGTTTTAGGACCAGTTTTCACCCAGTTTCAGTTCTCCTGCCCCTGAGACTAAATACCCACTTGGGCCTGCACAGACATCCACATTCCAGACAAGTGGGAGTGCAAGTCGACTGCAGCCAAAACAACATAGTTTTGTAGTATCTTATGGGTTAATTTGAATTTCACATTTAAAAGATACGCCTCCCGATAGACTTGTTCTCCTTGAGTTATTGTGCTGCACCACCAACATGCTGTTGTATTTGATGATTTTTCTTACACTGCATTATAATTTGGCCTACTGTGTAATGTCGCTTTGCAGTTCTGTGGCATAATCTGGAAATATTTCCACCCTATGAAGTAATACATTTAGATCATTTTTTTAAAGGAGAGAAAGCGAACTGCAAAGCCTTAGTGGCATGCAAATAGCACTATAAAATGGACTCTCACCTGTTTTTGTGTAGCTCACAGCCAGCGTCTGGTTCATGTGAAGTCTCGCCTGAAACAAGCCCCCAGATACCAAAGTTTGGAGCGGGATCTGATCGAGTACCAAGAGAGGCAGCTCTTTGAATATTTCGTAGTGGTGTCATTGCATAAGAAGCAGGCTTGTGCTCCATATGTCCCTGAAGTTACCCAGCAATTTCCATTAAAGGTGTGACATGTGACGGAGAATGCTTTGGCAGGCTTCTGCGATCTTGAGTTGCGGGTTAGGCAGACAAGCTTTGAGGATTGTTCAGGGGGAAGGGAGATGGGCGCACTTCAGCTGTAGTCTGGAAAACTTTGAGGAGCATCTGTACCTCAACAGAAAGATATATGCCAAATAACTGACCTCATCTGAGACAGCCTCCTGTATTCTTAATTTTTAAAAAATTACGTTATCCTAGATGGTGTGGCAGGTGGCATCAGTTTCGTTTCCAAAAACCTAAGTGCACAAACTGAAGTCAGCTAGATAGAGGAATCTGTCAGATTTTATGGCACCTTGAGGGATGGGGGTGTAAATCAGTTCAGGAAGAAAAATGTGAAGGTCAGGTGAGCTAGGCGAGTAACTATGTTAATATCTTCCAGGCAGAAGCTCAGTCTCTGTCATCACGTCTTATGTTTATCTCAAGTTTAAAAAAGAACCTTCCAGCTATTTCACTCCCACAAAACTAATCAAAAACATTCTCTTCCCTTCTTTCTCTGCTAGCTTGAACGCTCCTTCAAATTCATGAGGGAGGCTGAGGACCAGCTCAAAGCCATTCCTCAATTTTGCTTCCCTGATGCAAAAGACTGGACACCCGTCTTCCAATTTACCAGGTGAGTTCAGTGACTGTTTATTCCTTTCCCCTTTCCCATCCAGTTGGAGCACACTTCAGACAGTGGCCAGACTTCAACAACTTGCAGATGGGCAAAGTAGGGGTGGACAGACTAGAATTTTTTCCTGTTACAATTAAAAAAAAAAAATGGAGGCAGTATGTAGTAGTGGTTAGAGAAGTATTACTCAACCTGGTGCCCTCAAATGTTTTGGGTGACAACTCTCACCGTTCCTAACCATTGCTTACGGCTGATAGAACCTGGTTCCTCCAGATGTGAAGTCCAACACATCTGGAGGAACCACACTGGAGGAGGTTAACTTAAGATGTCAGACTAGGATCAGAAGGTACCAGGTTCAGAACCCTTCATGAAGATTGTTGGATGACCTTGGGGTGGTCACTGTCTCACAGACTAACATAACTCAGAGTTGTGAAGGGAAAAACTGCTTGTACAAGAGGCAGGATGTGCAAGTGATAACTACATGTGACACACACAAACTCAGTTTGCACTGTCATTGCAACCGACTGTGCCTTAAGCATGATAAGTTGCAGCACCAAAATGCCAGGCTGTGCCCCATGGCTTCTCATGTTGTCCGGAACTGTGACAGTGGTTTGTTGAGGCCATTAAACATCACTCCACAACCCTGCAAGAGGCCCTGGTTTCTGGGTGTTCTAACTACTCCAGCAAATCACCCTTGTCATGTTCAGACAACCCAAGAAGATAAGCCTGGGGTAGGTAGGGAAACGAGCCGACCCTTTTCATGTCATACCTTAATGGCATTATCATAGCCAGTGCCGTGCACAGGGCAACAATCCTATGCATGTTTAGACAGAAAAATTGCTACAACTCCCAACGTCCCTCTAGCCAGCCATGTTGGCTGAGGCATTCTGTGAATTGTGGGATTTTTCTTCCATTTAACTAGCATAAGACTGTGCCCTTCATTAATCAGTTAGCAGCTCACCATTGCTTATTAACTCCCCTTGTATCATATGAAGCAGGCTACAGACTTTCTCTCTCCTTCAGTAGTCCCCATCTGCAGTTTGAAGTAGCACAGTCTGAAGAATTCGCCACTGCTACCACCAATTTTCTCCTTGTGTGCCTATAAACAAAATTTTGTTGCAATGATTTGTTTTATCTCTCCCTTTTCCAGTGAGACCTTCTCATTTGTCTTGACTAGTGAAGATGGCAGCCGAAGGTTTGGATACTGCAGAAGGCTGCTGGTAACAATCTCTTTTTCCTTTCATCAAAACAGAGGGTGTCCTTACTTCTTAAAAGTTAAAAAGATAATCAACTAATAAACCTTCATATCTTACACAGCAGCCAATATTTCCTACTTTGCATTCTAATCTGGTTTGATTTTGTTCCATTAAGACATAAAAGGGAACTAGATTCCAAAAGTGACCTGTTCTTCTATCTCCCCATTGTCCTCTAGAATAGAGAGATTTAACTGGCATAGTTAATTTAAAAAATACAAAGAAAAATGCTACCATTCCCAGTAGCCCTCCAACCAGCCATTTTGGCTTGGGGATTCTGGGAATTGTGAGACTTTTTCTGTTAAAATGTGTGTAAGTTCATGCCCTTAATCAGTTTTACATTTTTCTTGACTGCCTTCTTAAGGATTTCTAAGAGAAGTGTTAGTGAATCAAATGGAATCTTAGGCCCAATAGCATTCTTCCTATCAATTACATCACTTTCAAAAAACTTTCTACATATTTACATGACTCTTCAGTGTTAAAGACTTTAAGCAAAGGCTGGGTGGCCGCCTATCAGATGTAACAGTGGCCTTTCAGACTCTGTTCAAGTCTCTGTACTAGTGGATTCCTTCTGCTAGCAGGGGTTAATTTTCCTTCTAACTCTGATGCTAAGACCACCAAATGTATTTGACATTGTCTTTGTTTAATCCTAAACAGATTGCATCTCTAGTCATCTGTTTCTCATATGTTTTAGGCCATTGTTTACTTTTGAGAAAAAGGAAACAATGATTTCCCAATGTTTGTCAGTAGGTGAAAGGTGTCTTTTCTATCTACTGCATATCATATGAGAATATTATATGAAGAAAGGATAAGTAAAGCCTGCACAATTCTGGAAACTGTTTATCAGTTCTGGAAACTGTTTATCAAACAACAACAACAATAATAATCCTTTCTTTTTATTAACTTGGTCAGCTTGGGTATATTATGGTTGAGCTAAGTTACTGTTCATTCTTGCTGCTTGATACTTTGCTGCAAATGAAATGATATTAAGGGAGGTGGGGAGATTTCTAGAGCATTTATGATACACTTCTTTAATTAAAGCTTTATGGATTTTCTAGGGAAGTTCTCATCTGTTTTTGCAACCACATCTAAGCATCTGACTTTCTAGTTGTCACATACACAAAATATTTGAAATCTTTTAGCAGGAGAAGCAATAAAATATTAAGGAAACTGGAGTAATGTTTCTATTTCCTAAGCATTCAGAGGTGTATACTAATGTTCTTGTGTTCAAGGTGTTGTAAAAGGTGGAGTAAGCTGATTAAAACAGCCCCCTGGTCAAAACTGGGTTTGCTAACTTCTTGATAATTACTATCTATTTCTGTGGGAATAGCTTATGTCTTTCTCTCTTGAAAGCCCAGTGGGAAAGGGAAGCGTCTTCCTGAAGTTTACTGCATTGTGAGCCGCCTTGGATGTTTCAACCTCTTTTCAAAGGTGAGTCAGAAAGAGAGAGAGAGACAATGTAGTCTATAAATAGAGGAGGATGCTAGACAAAGAAGGGGGGATATATGCTAGGGCACAATCCAAGTACCTGTGAGGGAATGGGTGGTTATTACATGGGCTCTGCTTCAGAGCAAGAATGTGTTGGGTTTGTGTTGATGATGGTGATTTTAGCAGATCTAAAATAAGGAGTTTTATTCTAAATGCTTGAAATACCTTTTCAGCTTTATCTGAGAAGTGGGACCTTGAAAACATATAATGTATCCTTCCTTTTCCCTCTGTCCCTTTCAATGGACAAGGTAGACATGATGCAAGTGATGGGTGATTCAGTCTCTTGAAGCTTGCTTTAAAAAGAAAAAGATAAACAACTGTGGGGAATTCAATTTTGAATTTGTTTCTCCCCCTGATTTTTTTCCTCATTTTGAGGAAAGTTGCCATTTACTCCTCAAAGAGAGAAACTTATTGGTACCAGTAAGGCGCAAGTATGTTTCTTCACCATGGGAGAAACAGTGGCTTGAGAAATCGACATTTTAATTGAGGGAAATAGTAAAAGCAAATAGCTTACCCCCATCTCAAAGTACCATTATTCCAATCCAAATCAACTCCCCACACCCATGATTCCTATTAACTTGATCTTGTTTTACACTGGCATATTCTCATCTTTTCTCATGCCATTCTGGGAAAAAAAACAGTGGTGGAGAGTTGGAAAAGAAATGGAGAACCAGAATGAGGGGCAAACATATGAAATGAATGTGTTTTCTGTAGACTATCTTCTTGCCTTTTAACTGTTTGCTTCTCTCCTTTTTAAAGATCCTGGATGAGGTTGAGAAAAGGCGTGGGATTTCCCCTGCTTTGGTGCAGCCCCTCATGAGGAGTGTCATGGAGGCCCCTTTTCCAGCTCTGGGACGAACCATCACCATAAAAAACTTCCTGCCTGGCTCTGGGACAGAGGTAAGATCAAAGCCAAAGTGAGAGGCTAATAGTGAGCAAGAGCAGGAAAAGTAGCACAAAGGGGTGGAGATGTTCAAGGCTGCTGCTAAGGGTGGACCTGCTTCTGGGCTCCTGTGAAGGCCCATAATCAATTCCATGAGAAAAACCTCACAGAATTGCTCCATCTCTTCCTCTTTGCACCCTGCTTGTTCACCTGCCCTTTGCTGAGGCTCACGCAATGACCGTTGTAAGAGGAAGGAGCAGGCGATGCCATGGCCTGCCTGCTCACTGGCTGTTGGCCTGCCAAGCAAGCATGGGGTAGCCATGCTGAGAAGGAGGAGGAGGAGCAGGAGCAGCTGCTGGCAATGGCAGAGGAGAAGTCAACTCACTGGGTTAGGGTCTCCCAAAGACCCTCATGAACCCAGAGCCAGCACTGGGGGTAATGCTTGAGACATGGGAGATTTGGGGTTCCATGCAGGCCTTCCCAGAACCAATAAGCCCTATTCTTTATCCTTGCAGATAATAGAGTTGCGTCGACCTCTGGACTCAAGGCTTGAGCATGTGGACTTTGAGTCCTTGTTTTCCTCACTCAGCATCCGGCACTTAAGTCGAGTCTTCGCTTCTCTGCTGTTGGAGAGAAGGGTGATCCTTATAGCAGACAAACTCAGGTATGCATTTCTTCATGCTTATCCTGTTGGAGAACATGCATTTCTCATCCTGGCTGGGTAGCTTTCTGACTTTATTCACTAATACTCATTACAGGTTTATTAGTAATCAAAGCTGACCTACATTTTAGGCATAGCAGCTACTTCTGATTGTTTATGGCTGTCATGGGGAGAAATGAGGCCACAAAACAATGTTTCTGGAGCCAGGACATCTGTGCTGTTTGCTTACACTCAAGCGATGGTTCTCATTTTAATAGTTTCTTTGTAAAGACTGCACATGTTGCTGTATACGGGCAAGTAGGGGCAGCCCTCCTGTGAGGCAGGATGAACCCCCCCCCCCCACATCAAGGCATGAAGCAGGTTTGCCCACTACCACCAGGAGGGTACCTGCTGCCAGCTCCTTGCTGCTGTAATGCACTGCGAGTCTTTCGGAATGCTCTGCCAACTTCTCCACAGCCCACAGGGGCGTTTGCCAAGCAAATCCAAGAGGCTGCCCCTGAGAGGGTCCTTCCTCAGAACTAGGCATTAGGAGATGGTGTGAATCACAGGCAGTCTTCAAGGGTGCTTCTGCAGTGCCTGGCTGTGAGGAAGGGCCTCACAAAGGAGTCTGTGGCTCTCTTGGGGATCCTCTGGGCAGTCCAGAGGGTGACTGTGGCAATAGGGGTGGGCGTTGTGATGCTGATGGGGGTTTGCAGATGAAGGGGTGGGGCAATACAGCAGTGGCAGGCTGCACCGGTATATTCTCCTGCCTCTGGTAACTCAAGCCCTTGTGCCAGAGCAGGAAATGTGTGTGAAGCATTTAGACTAAATTGCAATCTCTGGCCACCTCAGGTCATTTACTGGAAACAAATTTTGGACATAATCTGGGGCTGGCTCAGACAGCACAGGTCCCTGGGAACAGAACTGCATGCAGAGTTAGTGTGTGGCCCCAGGTGCCTCCTGCAGCATCCCAGATGCGATTCTTGTGACGCCAGTGGCCAAACAGTGTGCTGCTACAGTCACAAATGATGCCAGTGGAAATCCGCTGCTGTAGCCATGCAGTGTCCAGGTTCCACACTTGGTTCTCCACGGTTGACTGAGACGTGCTGCACGACGCACGGTTTTGATCCTTAAACGGAGCACAAATGCTTCTGCACTTTCTCAGTCTGGTACTCCACAGCGGCCAAAGCAGCCTTTCCCATCCTGGTGCCCTCCTCCAGATATGTGGAGTTCCATCATCTCCTAGCCGTTCCCCTTGTTGTCTGGGAGATGCAGTGCAACCCATCTGGAGGCAGGCAGCAAGTTTGGGAAGGCTGTTCCAGACAGTGCTGCTGCTGAACTGTTTCAGTGCAAATGTTTTCTTCCATATCGTGGTATTTCTGACTTTCTGCCATTGCAGGGCCATTTTTACCTGTTCTGCATCAGTGGGGCCCTTTCAGCAAGGTTAAGTTTCTGCAAAATAGCATTGCAGGTCAGGGAATGAAGGACACGATTCAGCCCGTCTACCTTTCAAGAAGCTAGTCTGTGAAATTGCAATGTTCCTTCTCTGCCTGTCCCTCCATTTCCCCAATTGCGTGTCCTACAATGTATCTTTCCCCCATTGTCTTTCCACAGCCAGTGTTAGCCTCTTTCTTGATCTGCTCTTTTTTCCATTTCCATTGTATTTCTTGCTTTTAAATTTTCATTTCATTTCGTTTTTGGACTTGGGCTTTTCACCTTGCAAGTTCACAAAGAACAAAACAAAGCTACCAAAGGCGATTTGCAGAGCAGTATTCAGACCCCTTTGCCTGGGGTTGCTGCAGCTGGCACAGTGCAGTGCCCCTGACCCTTGTCTTTCCTGTAGGGATGCAAAGGGGCATTAAGGGCCATTTGGGGCTTCAGTGGCATGGCTGATTCCAGCTGAATTCTTCCAGTCCAAACTCTTCTTGTGGAAGAATGGCGCCTTGACAGCACCAAGGGGGCAAGAGTTTGTTGTGTGGTGGGTCTCTGTAGGAATGTCCTCTTGGAGCCTTGACAAAGGGAGTTCAGACCTGAACATATTTCCTCTTATGCTCCTTGCAGAAATGGATTCTCCTTCTGGAGATCCATAAACATACCCTGCCCCATGGGGGGCGGGGGTTTGCTTCTTCTCGCATATGCCTTTTTGTGTCTTGGCCCAAATGGTATCAAGTTTGGCTTCTCAAGTTTCTTGATTCCTCTACAATCACTAGCATGGGGAGTGGGGGTTGAGCTTGATCAGGTATTTCTTATTATTTTGCAAAGGGGGGCAATTAATTTAAGAGCTTTCACAATTTTCTGAACACTCAGACTACAATACTTTATAGACTAGGAGACAGAGTTAGAGAGAGATTCACTGTTCATGGGTGTGCAGGACATCTAACTAGATGTCCTCCCCTTACATGTAAATAGCATTTCCCTCCATTTATCACGAAAATGTCATCTTAGTGGGAACTGTATTGCATAATGGCTAAAACATGCTTGCAATGCTTTCTGGGATAATGTAGAAAGGTCCTTGGCTTCTACAGCTTTAACTAGCTTAAATGGAGCTTAAAAAGGATTAAATAGACTCATGGAGGATTGCTCTATCGACAGCTATTTGCCATGATAGCTAATGGAACCTTTCTGCTTAGTTTTATCTGTCCTAATACACCAAGAATCTGGAGATAAACAATGGAAGATGGTCATTCTGTTCGTACTCTTTCTAACTGGCTGCTGCTGGTGACAGATTGATGACCTCAGTGGATCTTGACCTGATGGAACAATGCAATCTTTAACCATCTTATCCACTGGCTTAGATGGCCACAGTTTTAGTTCGTGAGCAATTCAAGCAAAACTCTTTCCACCCACACCTTACAAAAAAAGGAGGGGTAGATTCTGCTAAGATTTTCTACAGCTGGTGCCTGGCACGTGGCCATTTCTTAAACACTTGAGAATGGAGAGAGTGCAGTTCTCTTTTTTCAAGCAAGCAAAGGCAAAAACTCAACAGATGAGTAATGATGCCTGTGAGCTCAAGATCAGGTTTCAGCAGCCTGCCTATTTTCACAATTCCCAGTAAGTCCTGCTGTGTCCCTGTGTCTGGGAGAAGGAAGGGGAAAGGGCTTTGTGAAAAGAGAGCCAAAGCTTCATGCATCCATCAGATTTTTTGAGGGTGGAGAAGAACAGCATTCAGGAAAACAATGAGAAAGTAGAGTGGAGTACAAGATGACTACAAGTACATCTGTTGTATAAAATGCGATCTGGAATCCTGAGAATTTTTGCTTAACCATTATGAGGATGTTAGCCCTCAACAGATTCTGGGGAAAGTTGTGATACAGAACAATGTTCTCAGTTAAAGGCTGAGAATTCCTAAATGTGATTTTTTTTTTTTTCCTGTGGCCTGCCAATGTTTCTGGGCTCCTTCTTCTTCTTAATTGTTTGCTGTCCCTTGCCCGCCATCAAATGTTTGCAAAAATGTAAACACTAGAATTAAAACAAATTATACAGATTTCCTTCATCTTGAACAGTGTGGATACAGTCCAGTACAAAACAATGGGATGATGAAATTGGTATGATGAGAATATGTTTGGCTGTAGACAGGGCTGGTTCAAGGCCATGCAGGGTCTGGAGGTAGCTGTCCGTAGTGGGTTCCATATTCTGCCCTGAATGTGAGCTCGCATGATGTTTGAGCGCACACACTCAGTGCTGTACAATAATAATCCAAAAGCATGTTTTACTTTGGAGCTCCCGTGAGACTTTGGAAGTAGGTGGCATATACATATACATATATACTATATATTTTATTGGAAATCATCTGTGCTTAATGGAAGCGAAAGGCTAATATTTCTTCTATGGTGGAAGCAAGTTCAGGCATTCCCTTTTACAGCATGCAGCACACTGAAACAGAAAACATAAATGCACCTCGAAGTATTCTCACTCTCTCTTTCTGTTCCTCTCACCCACTCACACAGGATGTGCATACACATGCATGCACTCATGATGCACATTTACACAGCTGCTGCAGGCCCCAGAAATTGGCTGCTTGAGAGGGACCACTGAACGTCTCCCATTTCTCACTGGATGATCTGGGCTAGTCACTATTTTGCAGTCTAACCCACCTCACAGGATGGTTCTAAGCATAAAAATGTGAGATTTTTAGTTCCTGGAGTAAAGGCAAAAGATAACTATAAAAGGAAATTATTCTATACTAAAACAGCATAATTGACTTACCCTGTGCTCTAATAGGACTTCTTAGCATGTAAAAATGGCTATCTGTGCATTGTATTACTGTGTGCTCTCTTTATGTATGGGCTGTAGGCACATAATGAGGGCCAGTGCGGTGCAGTGGTTAAGCGCATGGGACTGGGACTCAGGTGATCTGGGTTCGAGTCCCCGCTCAGCCATGGAGCCAACTGGGTGACTCTGGGCCAGTCACAGACTTTCAGCCCAACCTACCTCACTGGGTTGTTGTTGTGGTGGTGATAAGATGGAGGAGGAGAATGATGAAGCTGCCTTGAGCCCTTTGTAGGAAAAAGGCAGGATATAAATAGAAAAATAAATAAATAAATAAATAAATGTATAGGGCACGCTGTGGAGGGAACCAGAAGGCTGATACCAACTCTTATAGCCTATATTAAAAATTAAAAAGTTGTAAAGCACCCTTTTCTCATATACCTCCATCTTCATAACAACCAAGTCAAAAATTTCAATAGCAAAAGCAAAGCAAAATCTTGTGATTCCTTAAATTTATTCTGGCATAAGCTTCTATAATTGCAGCCAACTTCATCAGATGCATGGAATATTATGGGGATTTTCAGATTTATATATACTACATGTGGGGTGGAACTATGAAGTCAAAAACAAATTAACTTCAGGAATTATTCAATGAAGGAAGTTATCATTTCCATTAAATTCTTCATGGTTGCCACCCCCAGTTGCATTTCTTTAAAAGGAAAAATTGAACCCACTAGCAGACTAGGTAACCAACCTGAATTACAGTGTATTAAAGTCACATACATTACTGATCCTTCTAGCAGTCTGGGGATAAC